ATGGATTCTGTGGGACTTTGTGTTGTACTTTTGACTTTGTTTGTTTGCTTGTTTTTGGCTTTTTGGGTCATACCCAGTGATAATCAGGTTTATTATCTGGTTAATTATTCTTGGCTCTGCACTCAGGGATCACTCCTGGCAGTGCTTGGGGGACCATATAGGATGATGCTGGGGATTGAACCTGGGATGGCCAGGTACTAGGTAAATGCCTAACTGACGATACTATCGCTCTGGCCCCTGCGCACTATTTTTTTTACATTCCCAGTTGCATTCTTGTCTGATTGCATCGACCTCCAACCATGTTCACAGTAGCAGAGAGAGGGGGCATGCTTTTCGTGTTAATTTTTGTGGTGTTCTCTCAAAGGTAATTTACTATGTCATCTTCAAACACCTTCATTATTCAGCAGGGAATCCTGATGGCCAGAGATCAGTGAAGAACTTGCCTCAGGGTCATGCAGGGTCTTAACATTGGAGCTCTCTGGCTCCTAAGTCCTCAGCCCTTGCTGCACAACTTCCTAATTTTTTTAACCCCCCCCCCCCACCTTTTGCCACACCCCTGGTTCCCTGATAGTCATCTCTGAGCACCCATTCAGAGAGCTTTGGAGGGAGTCAGCGCCGGCTTTAGAGAGGCTCAGTGATGCTTTCCTTCTCTCCTCCCCTCCTCCTTCCCAGATATTCTCCTTGTAGAAGGAACCAGGGAATAGGAAGGATCCCCACCTCCATTTCCCACCCCCCCACACTTTTAGAGTGGTTTAGTGATCCCCTATGTCACTCAAACAGCCACCTGCCCTGCTTCTTCCAAACATTTCTCCCAATTGTATCTACTATTCCTCCTAAGGGCTGGAGCGATAGCACAGTGGTAGGGCATTTGTCTTGCACAGCCAGCCTGGCCGAGCTGGGTTCGATTCCTCCTCCCCTCTCAGAGAGCCCGGCAAGCTACCGAGAGTATCTCGCCCACACGGCAGAGCCTGGCAAGCCACCCGTGATGTATTCGATTTGCCAAACACAGTAACAAGTCTCAAAATGGAGACGTTACTGGGCCCCCTCGAGCAAATCGATGAACAACGGGAGGACAGTGCTACAGACAGTGCAGTCCTCCTAAGACAAATTCACCCGAGTATTTTCCTTTGTGCAGTTATATTTCTTTACTCCCTGAGCACTGCTTGGGAAGTGCGGGTCCCTCCTCTGCGGTGCTAGGGGAGCCCAGAGGGATTGCTGGTGCTACTTCACCAACCACACCTGAAGGTTTGATGCGTGGGCCCAGCAATTAGTTCTAGGGGCTACCAAGGCACCTCTGGTGGTCTTTGGGGTGTCCATATGGTGTCAGGGATTGAACTTGGGGCCTTGCGTGTTCGGGCATATGCTCCCTGCAACTCTGACCTATTTCCCTGGCCACAAGGAAGGGATTTGAGAGTTCTTGCAGCTGCGACATCTCTCCGAAGCTCTCTAAACGTCAGCTCCAAGTTGAGCATCAGGGAACGGGGTGCACGGAGGGGGAGTGGTCAAAACACAAAGAAAGAAAATTTGACTCCATAAACAGGTTATCTCTTTCCGGCTTCTTCTGACTGAACAAATCGCTTTATTAAGTGTGCTGAGTGACTTGCCCTGGGTATCTGTATCCAGACTTCCGCAGATGCTAAATTAGCTCCTCCCTCCCCCTTTCTGGGACCAGGTTGTGGTTCATAAACAGTGACCCTCTTGCCTCCCTCCACCCCGCGGACAGGGATGAGTTCTTGTTTCTTGTTTTAGAACACCTTTGAGAACCGCAGGTTCTGTGGGGAGAGGCACCTGGCCCTGATCTAGATGGCCTGTTTCCAGCACTTTCCCGAAATAGGCAGATCCCCAGCGTCCAGGGACAGAAGGAGACAGCGGCAGCAGGACGCGCGCTCAGATGAGCCCTCTCGAGCCCGTCAGTAATCTGGATTTCTGCTTCCCTCCGGCCATGGCTTAAGCGGTTGGAGGTCAGTTCTTGTTTCCTCTCGCGGGAGTGAGCCGTGGAGACTTCTGCCTCTCCCTTGCCCCCCTTTGTTTCCTGGCCCCGCTCTGGCCGTGACCCGGGCTCACTTCTTCTCCCCTCCATGAGAGGCTTGCTGTGGCTGCACCCCCTGTCCCTGCTCTCTTTTCCTCTGCCGCTCTGAGGCGGCGTTTGGCCTATTTGAGGATGAAAGGGGCTGATGTGCTCCCAGGTGTCTTCCCGCTCCCTGCCCCCCAGCCTACTGTCAGCATCCGTCACTTAGCAAAGGGAAGGCGACACTCTGGCAGTGCTGGAAAGGGCCACCTTTCGCCAGAGCCAGGGGCAGATGTCTGCATCCCGGCCTCTACCTGGGAGTTTTCTACTTGGTTTTTCTTGCTCAGCAGAATCGCTTAAGAAATTGTTCTGTGTGGGGGCTGGAGCGATAGCACAGTGGGTAGGGTGTTTGCCTTACATATGGCCAACCCGGGTTCGATTCCCAGCATCCCATATGGTCCCCTGAGCACCACCAGGAGTAATTCCTGAGTGCAGAGCCAGGAGTAACTCCTGTGCATTGCCGGGTGTGACCCAAAAAGATAAAAAAAATTGTTATGTGGCTGAGAGGCTGGGAACTGAGGTAAGGTTTGAGGTTGTACAGGAAGTTTATATCCGCAAGTTCAAGAAGAAAGATTTCATCATTTTTGGGCCCTGGCTTATTTTATTTTTTATTTTGATGACAAGAATTTGGTTTTATTAGAAAAGATCAATTACTAACTTACTATATTTAAGAGTACTTTTTTTTTGTTTACCAACTATGGATATGCCAAACACAGTAACAAGAAAGTCTTACAATGGAGAAGTTACTGGACCCGCTAGAGCAAATCGGTGAACAGGAGGACAGTGATAGTGACAGTGATGGATTATTCCCATATATATATTTTTTCTTCTTTCTTTTTTTTTGGGGGGGTCACACCCAGCAATGCTCAGGGGTTACTCCTGACTCTGCACTCAGGAATTAGTCCTGATGGTGCTTCTGAGCCATATGGGAAGCTGGGAATCGAATCCTGGTCGGCTGTGTGCAAGGCAAATGCCCTACCCGTTGCACTATGCCTCCATTCCCTATTTTATGTTCAATCCAATTTTCAGAGACTGGGTTCATACCATGCCTAGGAGATCATGAGGCAGACACAATGTCTTTTAATCCAGTGCAGTGTCTGGTTCTGGACACTTAGAAGAGAATTATTCCCCACTTAGGATTCTGATCAGATCTCGGTGACCACGCCGCTTGCTGTCTGCAGGCAGGTAGCCATACGACTTCTTATCTGTGGATTTGCTGGGCTGTCAGTAGGTGATCAGTCATCGTAAAGATGAGAAAACGGCCCAACGGATACTATCAGTGTCCAGGAGTCCAAGAGGACAGTGTGCCTGTTGTGTGGACAGTGCTGTCAGCCAGGCACTGATGGGCAGTGATGGGCAGTGGCAAAGTATCCGGGATGAAATGAGGGGCAAGTAGGGTCCCACTGAATTATGTTGGCTCATGTAGATGACACAGGCACTCACAAAGGGGTATGACCCCCTTTTGCGGGGTTGAATACTGTCCCCAAAGAACAACGGTCTTTTCGGTCTTTGCGTGGACAGGTCCTGGTAGGATAGGGACTGATTTAGCCTGGAGTGGCCCCAAAGGCCAGCATGTGCTGAGACTGCAGGAGAGGAGATGTCAGCCACCCACAGAGAGACCAGACAGTGACCAAACGCTGGCTGGAGTCCCCATGTCAGAACCCAGGCTGTTGCCTGAGCTGGCCAGTGAGCTCGGGGCTCTGCAGAAAGAACCCTCAAGCAGGTACTAGGAAAACAAGGGTAAGAAGTAGAACACCTGTGCCTTGCCCTAGTAAATAAGGTGTAGACACCTGTGGGTATTTCAGTGAAAGAAAATAAACTCAAAACGTTTTGAACTTCCCAATCTTATTTTGAGTGGTTGAATAGCCAGATGTGGCCATTCACAGCAGGCTGGACGCTGTGTGTGTGTGTGTGTGTGTGTGTGTGTGTGTGTGTGTGTGTGCAAACGTTTCCAACAACTCACTGAGGAGAGCTATTGACTGGAAATAATTTCATTAGTATGTTTGACATTGATTACATGGGCTGGAGTGATAGCACAGTGGTAGGGCATTCGCCTTACAAGCGGCCAACATGGCCGACCAGAGTTCAATTCCTCTGCCCCTCTCGGAGAGCCCGGCAAGCTACCGAGAGTATCTCGCCCGCACGGCAGGGCCTGGCAAGTTCCCTGTGACGTATTCGATATGCCAGACACAGTAACAACAAAGTCTCCAATGGAGACGTTACTGGGCCCGCTCGAGCAAATCGATGATCAATGGGAGGGCCTTTACCTTTACCTTACATGCGGAAATAAAATTTAATTATATTGGGTTTAATAGAAATACTAACATTGGCTTTACCTATTTCCTTCCCTTCTGCCCTGTGTATAAGGGGCACTTGCAGATTCCCAGGGTGGCTCACACAGCTATTGAACGGTTCTCTTTCAGACCAGTACTGGAATTTACTTCCATTTATTCACTGTTTTTATTGTCACATCTATTTGTGTGATGATGTCAGTAAAAATCCTCCTAACACAAAAGTTCCAGAGACAGCCTGGAATAATGGAACAAAGGCAAGCTTTGCGGCCAGACAAACTCGGGTTCAAATCTCGGCTCCACTTTCCCTTCTAGCTGAGTGATTCTGACAAACTGCTTTGTGTCCTAGTTTTCTCCTCTGAGAAATGCACTCTGTGAACACGCCTGCAGAGCACTGCAGTCAACATCAGGGGAGCAAGGGCACACAGAAGGGACGGGCTGGCCCCAGCAGCCCCCACCAATCCTTCTTATCACTGCCACTAGTGTAAGGTGACAGTTCTTTTCCCTTCCCCGGCCCCTGCTTCAACCTAAGTACTTTCTTCGAATGATGCTCCAGTCCCAGGATGTTGCAACAACCATCAGTCACCTTGGCACCTCCTCCCGGCTCCCCTGCAAAGCCCTGGCCCAACCTGGGCACTCACCTGCTGGCAGCTGCTGGCCCAGGAGGCCCTGAGTGCTCCCCAGCGCTCCGAGTGCGTGGCTGTGCTCTCTAGCTGCGTCCTGAGCTGCGCCTCCAGCTCCTGGCTGACGCGCTCCAGGGCGTGCACCTTGGCCATGTATTCTGCCAGGCAGCTCCCCAGGTCCTCGAGGCCGCCGAGGGTTCTATCGAGATCTGGAGTTGGCACCCAGACTGGGCCCGAGCTCCACAGGCCCTGCAGGAAGACGCTGCTGATGCCCAGGGCCCGGCGGCTCACGCGGCCACTCAGCCCCCCTGAGAGCCCGCTGGGTGTCATCCCCACATGGACTCTGGGTGCTCGAGCAAGGTTATACCTAGTCCTGCTTCTGGACGCTGGAGGACTCTCCCAGGAGGACAGAGGGCCCCGGGAGGTTGCTCTGTGCCCCTGGAGGGACATGCTGGACGGGCGCCCGGGGCCCCACTGCTCTCAGCTCTGCCTCTGCTATGGCCAGTGGGTTTCCACTGTCCGGTCACTTTAGGATTCAGCCCTGGCATCCCTGTGGCCTGATCACAGGCCTCTCTGGAAACTCCCCCACCACCGGAGCTGCTTTGTCTGCTGTTTTCCATGAGTTTCTTTCACTCCCTGGATTGAAAGGCCCTGTCCAGAGCTGTCGGCCGGTCATGCGCTTGGCCTCCCAGTTTGCTGCTGTGGGTGAATGATGTTGGCTCACAGCGAGCCGCGGGCTTTGTGTATCGAACTATCCAGGAGAGGGCAAGGGAAACTTCCAGAAACCCTGCTTCACAGATGAGTGTACTGAGGTACAGTGACTCAGATACGAGGTACAATGAGTGGTGGGGCCACAGGCACCTCCTCCCGGCTCCCCTGCAGAGCCCTGGCTCAAAGAGGCCCAGTGACCCAGGACCAGTTTTAGAACTTATCAGAGGCTCCCATGTGCTATACGTAACTGTATGAGTGTAGGTGATTGCCCCTATGGGTGGATGATGTGAACCAGTCCCCCTGGGAGGTGGCCCAGGGACTCATGCCCCTGTTTGACAAAGCAAGCCTGGGGATTCCTGTGCCCTCCGAGTCCTGGAAGCTGTCCCCTCCCTCGGGATTTTCTTCCCCCACCCAACACAATCCATCAGCTTCTTGACAAGGTCCGTGTTACTCTACCACAATGGTTCTTATGCGTCACATAAGAACCTTACTTGCGACCTGACCTGGGCTCTAACCCTGGGCAAGTCCAGGCCCCACATGCCGGGAACCTAGACGCTCTTCTTCTTCTTTTTTTTCTTTTTGGGTCACACCTGGCGATGCTCAGGGGTTACTCCTGGCTCTGCACTCAGGAATCACTCCTGGCGGTGCTCGGGGGACCATAGGGGATGCTGGGAATCAAACCTGGGTCGGCCGCATGCAAGGCAAATGCCCTCCCTGCTGTGCTACTGCTCCAGCCCCCCCCCCCAGACACTCTTTTTTCCCACACTGCTTCTTCCTCTGCCAAAATCAGAAATCATTTTTATTTCTTTTTATGTTTGTTTTTGGGGCCACACCCAGTAATGCTCAGGGTTGACTCCTGGCTCTGCACTCAGAAACTACTCCTGGTAGTGCTTGCGGGATCATCTGGGGTGTCAGGGATCAAACCTGGGTTGGCCACATGCAAAAAAAGCATCCTACCTGCTGTATTATCTCTCCAGTCATCACCCCCTGAACCCCTCAAAAAAAAAACACACAAAGAAACCAGAGAAAATTTTCTAGTAATATCCTATAGGGGTTCAGAATTAGGCCTCAATGACACTCCTTTTTTTTTTTTTTTTAATTCGTGCTCCATTGAGGCTGCTACTCACGGTGACAATCATATCTTTAGGCCCAGGAAGGCTCCTCCAGTCCCAGGGATGACAAAACAGAACCTCAAAACTGCTGCATCCAAGTTCTACCAAGTAACCAAAGCTTGAATTATTGTGGCAACAAGCCACGGGCAGAGGAAGAGGACTGAGTCGCTTCTTTCTAGGGAGGAGAATCCCACCCAAAACTGTAGACATTTTTCACCCTTGATTTCCTGGTCCACTCAACTGGGCCTTGGGAAGATGACATGTCTGTTCTTCCAGCATGCTTACTGATCCAACGATTAGCCCATCCAATTGATGAGGACGCCCCAAATGGCAGTCTCTTGTCTGAGGTCCCAAGAAAGTAGCGAAACTGGGATCAGCTTGTCTTTTGACTCCTAACACAGAGACTTATCTTGAATACTTTGCACCACCCACAGTGGGGGTACATTGGCCGAGTTTAAAACAAGGATGCTTTCTAGAACATTCTATGTGCTCTTATTGGTACATAGGATGTTACAGTTCTCCCTTTTCTCCCTTCTACTTTGTTCTTTGCAATGACCTGGAAGATATCTTATGCATTTCAATGTTGGCTTTCGGATGAACCAATGTGATCAAGTTAAGACTGGCAGGAACTGCAGGAGTCCCTTGTTTGTTTAGTGATTCAATTCTTGCTGTGTATACCACCTCTGGTGTACCTGCAAGACACTGTCCAAATCTAATCCAGCTGATGCCAGCTGGGTTCTGAGGAGCTGCAAGAACTCCGGGTTGGGTCATTCAAGGTGAAACAGGCAGAGTCAAGCTACTAAGCTGCCTGCAGTGGTATTTGGAGTAGACACTGTCGTTCTCTTCAGACTAACCAGATCACCTTAGGTCACCTTCAGATTTCCCTGTCCCAAATTCATTTCTAGGAAAGCTCTACCCCCTGGGGTGTGGCATATAACCCTCACTGACTCAAATATCTCCAAAGATTTGAAGGCAGAGAATACTCTTTTGGAGGAATCACAAACATGCTCTTAGGGATTTGTTTTGCCAATGAATAAACCGCTAATGCTGTTAGCTCAGCATATTAATAAAAGCAATTAAGTGTGAAGATAGAGATTTAAGAGAGATGAAGCCTGCCCACCCTTGAAGCCTGTGTCCTCCTCTATCTCGCTAGCTTGCCTCTAGGTTTCTTTGCATTTCTCCTCTTGCTCTCCTCTCATATCTTTCTAAGTCAGTTTTAATAAAAATTACCATGCTTCACTTAAAAAACTACGGGCACAGGGTGGAACAGGTCCTCAGCAGACAAAAGTCATTTTAAAATTAAAAGAATGCAAAACGGATTAGCAACGTAATCCTCTGGCTAATAAAATAAGTTTATTTATATATACACAGTAGCTGAATTCTGTGGGTAAGGAAAAATAAGTAATACATCCACATATGTATATATAACATATGTACTTGATTACATATATTATATATATAAATTTACTCTACAAACATTTCTTTCTATATACACATACATTGATATATTAAATGCAATAGCTAACAAATATTATAAGGTTAGAAGATCAGACACTGAAAAAGAATCTCAGAGAAACATTTAATCAGCTTCTTTGTGGGCTGAAGAGCCTTAGAGAAGAGATAACCACTGAATGCATGGGACTTAAGTTCACCCAAGATGGAGAACACAGAGTTTTGAAGGCCATCTTTAAAAACATAAAGAGAATACAGGAAGGAAGGGAAAAAACATGATTAACAAAAAAAACAGCGACAACATAAACATACGAATCAACATTCAACTCCCAATTTGACTATAAGAACATCTATATTCAAAATATACTATCAAACTATTTTTTCAAAGCATTTCTTTTCTCCCCCTCCCCCCATTCCTTCCCCATTCCCTCCATCCCCCCAACCCCCAATCCCCAGCCACTCTCTGTCAGAAAGAATAAGCAGCCATTTCCAGAAGCCCCCTTTGGATCTGAGGGCCTCACCCTGTGGGCTGGGCGGGGGTGGGGTGACAGTGTGAGGGGGGCAGCGCAGGAGAGGTGGGGCATGAAGGCTGAGCGGCACGGACCCCTGCTGACCCCCAGGTAGGCCTGCAGCTCCGAGGGAGAAGGGCAGTCTTGATTTCTCCCGAGGGATTCTGCTTTGGCAATCTTGTTTCCTTCAGTTAGCAGGAGGAAGGTTCTGGAAAGTACAGCTGTATGGGCAAGGCTTCTCGAACCCATCCCTTAGGAGCACGATGCGATGGTCTTTTGAGAAACAGAGTCGAGACCTTGAAGGGCTCCATGCTCCAGCTCCAGGGCGGTGATCATGCAGCTCCCCCCTCTCCAGAGAAAGGCACAGAGTTTGATGCGATGTGGGAGCTGGAGAGGATGCGGGGATGTGCCAGGGGCAGCCTTGGATTTGCCCGGGGAATGCAGTCCTGTTGTTAGCACAGTGGAGGCCCCCGGATGGGTGGGGCTCGGGGAACGCGGCCTTAGGATGTCTGATGTCCTCCAAGGGTTCCTGACGCTGCACGCTTCTGCTGGTGTTCACGATTCAACAGACACTGGGTCACGGACAGGTTCTGAGGTTCTCATCCTTTGGGGGAGAGATTCCCTATCCCCACATGGCGTCAGTCCACTGGCTTCCCCTTGGCGGTCTAGCCCCCTCAGCTGCATATGCAAGTGGAGGAAACGGGGTCACAGGGAGTGAAGAGGAACCTGAGCTTTCAGAAGCGCAAAGGACAGTCCGGCCCACCTGACATCCACTTGTACGCGTGCGGTCCCCTCATCTGCTGGGGCTACTGCCACACCAGTCACATCCGCTAAGACAAGCACTCGGTGCAACTGCTTTGCTTAGAAATACCTTTATTTTAGAAAGCCGCGAATCATTCTGTAAGATTTGTTTTTAACCACACTTATAAAAAAAAGAAGTTGACAATTCTTAGGGGGGAAAAGAAGTGGAAAACGTTTTTCAGGGTTACACAAATATTATATTTATAATATATATTTGTATATTCATAATTTTTTAGAGATGAAAAACTGGGGCCAGCAAAGCAAGGGCTGCTGTGGTTAGATCTGGGATACCTGATCACTGCCCACAAACAGCGTTTCCTGGCAGAAGGGGTTGACGAGGACCATCCCGGTGTCCCTGTAGTCACCATTGGCTGGAGAGCGGGGCTCTGAGAGCTGGTCCTGCAGACGAAAGAAGGAGACCACGTGAGCTGGTGGTTTCACGGGGCATTCAGTGGTTAGAGAAACGTGCCCACAGGGACATTTCTTTATGCCTAGAAAACAGTCTTCTTCATCCTTTCTGCCAGTGTAAAGGCACAGAAGCCCTCTGTGATTTTTTCAGATTTGGGGGAAGCAAAATAGTTTTTATTGTTCCAATTTTTTATTTATGAGCCATGATTTATAATACTGTCTTTGATAGCTTTACACATACCCCCCCTTTTTTTGCTTTTTTGGGGTCACACCTGGTGATGCTCAGGGGTTACTCCTGGCTCTGCACTCAGGAATCACTCCTGGCGGTGCTCAGGGGACCATATGGGATGCTGGGAATCGAACCCGGGTTGGCCGCATGCAAGGAAAACGCTCTACTAGCTGTGCTATCACTTCAGTCCCCTCACATACACCATTTTAATACCACACCTGAACCTAGAGTGCTCACTTCCCTCCACCAAAGTCCCAGGAACCCTCCCCACTCCCCAACCCTCATTCTCTTCACCTAGGAAAGCTAAGTTCTGTAGACCAAGTCTCCAATTATGTTACCTTTGGCCATTCACTGCACCTTTATTGTGCTTTTTCTTCTTTTCTTTAAAAAAATACGTCCCATCTATGAGATGAGATTCTATGAGATTATTCTGTATCTGTCCCTCTTATTCACTCAGCATGATGCCCTCAAGCTCCATCCATGGAGTGGCAAATTGAATAATTTCATCTATTCTTACAGCTGTGCACTATTCCGTTGTGTATATAGACCACAACTTCCTTATCCACTTGGCCTGTTTCCAGATCCTGGCTATTGTGAGTAGTGCTATAATTAACATACAAGCACAAATATCTTTTCCAATTGTGTCTTTTAGGGCCTTGAGGGAGATGCTCAGAAGCGGAATTTCTGGGTCTTATGGAAGCTCAATTCTTTGTTGGGAAGTGGCCTTTGAAACCCTTTGGAACCTTTGAAACCCTCCTTAGGTTAAACTAGTGGACAGTCCTGGTGGATGAGTGTTCCTTTTTCCTCACATCCATGACAGCACTGACTGTTTTTGTTCTTTAGCATGTGTGCCAGTCTCACTGGTGTGAGGTGATACCTCACTGTTTTTTAAATATATATTTCTCTGATTATAAGTAATGGTGTAGAATAGTTTTGTTTAGAGATATATGAGGTGGGGGGAGAGAGGGAGGCTTTTTTCTGAGGGGAAAAACCCAGTTCTTTCAGATCAAAAACTTTTTTTCGCTGCTTTCTGAATTAGCTCCTGTCCCTGCAGATTGGGCTTTGCAATTCTTACCCACGTTCTAGAGGACACTCATGGCAGATCACCCTAGTGGGCAAGACCTGGTCACTTGGGCCCAGACTCTCCTTCCTGCCTCTATTTAACAGACTCTTTTCCTGCCTCTTTTCAGGAAAGTGCTCCTTGTTTCCGTCTTAATCTCCTGCCCCGGGTGCCCACCTCTTTCCTCTCTTGCTGTCACTGCTGAGCCTAATCACTCCCCTCTGATTCCCCCAAGCACCTGCTAAGAAGCTGCATCTCAATTCTCATAATTTAGGTCGTGAATATCAACATAGGCCCAGGTATTAGAAATCTATGCTCTGGCATGTATCCGAATGGCTTAAAAATTCTTATTGAGCTGACCCGGCCGAGCCGGGTTCGATTCCTTACGACGCCCGCACGGCAAAGCCTGGCAAACTCCCCGTGACGTGTTCGATATGCCAAACACAGTAACAAGTCTCAAAATGGAGACGTTACTGGGTCTGCTCGAGCAAATCGATGAACAACGGGAGGACAGTGCTACAGTGCTACAGATGGTAGTGCTGATGTTTATGCTTCTGCTTTTGGTGTCACTGTCACACCACTGTCCCAATGCCACTATCCTGCACTGCTGTCCCAAGGTGCCTTCTCATTTGCCTCCTCCCCCCACAACTCCCTCACTTTGTAACCTCAGGTCAGCAGTCCGGTTTGTTTTCACTGGCCACTGTCCATTTCCTTGCTTTCCCCTTTAGGTCCCTATTCCTCTTGATGTCATGTTTTGCTTATTTTTTATTTAAAATTTTTTTGGGGGGCCACCACATGCAGTGGTGCTCAGGGGTTCCTCCATGTTCTGCACTCAGGGGTCACTCCTATTTGGCTCAGAGGACCATGTGAATGCCAGGGGTGGAACCCAGGTTGGCTGTGCGCATGGCAAGTGCCCTACCTGTTGCCCCTGTTTTATTTTTTTAAAAAAGCTCTTCTCTTTCTTCAGTTCTTTTATTTATTTATTTATTTATTTATTGCTTTTTGGGTCACACTGTCACACCCAGCAATGCTCAGGGTTTACTCCTGGCTCTGCACTCAGGAATTACTTCTGGTTATGTCGGGGGACCTTGTGGGACTCTGGGAATCGAACCCGGGTTGGCCGTGTGCAAGGCAAACTGCTGTGCTATCGCTCCAGTCCCTTCATTTATTTTTTTTAATAGCTTCTTCTGCCTTGTCCTTGAGCACCTAAATCACTTTTCAGCTTCTATCATTCTGCTATTGATCATCTCTAATTTTTTTTATTCTTTTATTTTTTTTTGCTTTTGGGTTACAGCCAGCGATGCACAGGGCTTACTCCTGGCTCTGCACTCAGGAATTACTCCTGGTGGTGCTCAGGGGACAATATGGGATGCTGGGGATCAAACCTAGATCGGCCGCATGCAAGGCAAACGCCCTACCCGCTGTGCTATCGCTCTAGCCCCACTATTTTTTTTTTATTAGTGAAACACCATGAGGTACAGATACTACACTTGATCTTGGCCAAAAGGAGCTATAGCACAGCGGTAGGGCGTTTGCCTTGCATGCTGCCAGTCCAGCCGAGCCGGGTTCGATTTCTCCGCCCCTCTCAGAGAGCCCAACAAGCTACTGAGAGTATCTCGCCCGTGCAACAAAGCCTGTCAAGCTACCCGTGACATATTCAATATGCCAATATGCCAAACACAGTAACACCAAGTTTACACCAAGTTTCAAAAAAAAAAAATGGAGACGTTACTGGACCTGCTCGAGCAAATCAATGAACAACGGGAGGACAATGATACAGTGATACATGAGGTACAGTTGTAGACTTACAAATTTTTGTGCTTGGGTTTCAGTTAAACAATGATCAAACACCCATCCCTCCACCAGTGCCCATTCTCCACCACCAATGATCCCAGTATCCCTCCTACTACCCATCATCCCATCCCACCCTGCCTCCGTTGCAGGGGATTCCCTTTTGTTCTCTCTCTCCTTTTGGGTGCTGTGGTTTGCAAAAGAGGCATTGAGTAGCAATTATGTTCTGTCTAGAATCTACTTTCAGCATGCATCTCCCATCCTGGGAGGATCCTCCCAACACCCTTTATTTGGTGCTCTCTTCTCTATCTGGGAGCTTCCTTTTCCCCTAGCATGTGCGACTGGTCTCCAAGCCATGGAGTAAAACTCCTGGTACTTATCTTGGCTATTCTTGGGTGTTAGTCTCCGAATTTGTTTGTTACTTTATGTTCCCTAGATGAATGCAATCTTTCTATGTTTCTGACTCATTTCCCTCTTTTTCTGACTCATTTCGCTTAGCATGATACTTTCCATGTAGTATCACTTGTATGTAATCTAATTTTTTTTTAGTTCAGTTACGCCTTTCACTCAGTGATTTGTGATCAAAGTTTTCTTCTACTTTTCTCACATCTTCTCTTTCCCTGTTGTTTTTTCTTATTGATTTCCTCATCTTTGCTGTGTAGAAAGGGAATTGCTAAAGGTCCTACGTGCTTCGGATCCTTGCTGGCTTCATGCACCCCCACAGAGAATGCTGTGCTTTTTCACCGAGCCTGGTGTGACATCAGGGCTGGTCTGGTGTTATGCAGGCCTGGGCAGCAATCTGGGGGTCACACTTTCTAAATCCAGATAGAGACCATTGTTCTGAGTTCGTGTCACCGTTAGGAATTCATGGTCACAAGCAATATAGAACTGATGTCTGGCAGGCCGGTGCTACACCCAGAGATCGCAGTTACTGGTACCTGACAATGGCTGTAGGCCAAGATCATTCCGTTGCAGACAGAAAATGGTCATGAATGCCCTACAGCAACCAGCACCAAGCAGACCAGCATAGCTACTGGGGACCTGCATCCGCCAAGGTCTGACAGCAACTCCACTGTCCGACTCAAGCAGCCCCGGGGAACATCGCGTGGGGACAGCCTGGCGCTTGCCTAGGCGCCTGGCACTAATTTTGCCCAGACCTGGGTTCTAATCAACTGCTCAAATGTCTGAATACTAGGCTCCAGGGGGGACAGCAACGGGAGGTCTGCGGAGGCTGTATGCCTTTTTGTTTTTATTTGTAATTTTTTATTTTCCCTCTCAAAGTCCTATTTGACCCTGGGCTGGGTTCATTTAGGCTGTCTCCTGAATTGATATGAATTGGGAGGAAGCAACCCTTGGAGTGAGAGGATATGTCCTTAAGGTTCTCACCTTAGTTCAGGACTGGACTTAGCTCAGAGACAGCACCTCTGGCCCGCCTGCAGGCCACTAGGGCAGCCCGCTGTGGTCCAGATCCCCAATGTCCTGCTCTCTACAGTCTCTTGTCCCTGACTAGATATTGTCAGAGTGGAATTATAATGTCGGGGTGCTGGGGTTTTCACTTGGCCCTTCCTGTTCCAGAAGTTTCCATGCCTCAGCAGTTTAGACATCCTTCTCTTCTGTCTCTTGCCCTCTTGAGCGGTCTCACCTGCTACGCCTGTTCCACAGTGGGACTCTCCCGTTGGGGACGAGTGCTGGATTCTCCAAGGGGCCCTTACATTGATAAAAGCTCACCCTGACCACGGAGGGGCCAGAGTTAGGCCCCGGAACTGTCCGCTTTCACCACTGCAACAGATGTCCGCTTCCCCCCTCTCCTGGGCTGACTCTGCGCCGTTTTAGCTCATCTCCTAATTTCTAGTCTCTTCCCGTCTGTCCTATCCACTGATCAAACCGCCGTCCGTTCTAGTTAATTCACTCATCACACAGAGTCTTTCTAAATCTAGGTCGCACAAAGCTCAAAACTCTCCAGGACCCTTTGCTGCCTGAGACAAACACACAGGCGCTCTTAAGGCTGTGTCTGATCACCAGCCTCGCCCGCCCTCCTGTGAGAGAAGAAAGAGCACCCCTTCTGGGACCAGACAGACCTAGGCGACCGCTAGGTGTCCTGGGCAAACCCTTCCTGACCCCAGTGCTCTTGCCTTTGGCGACAGGCCCTGTCGAGCAGCCTCTGCCACCCTCCCTCGGGCGCTTCCCTTGCTGGAGCCAGCGCTGAGAGCTGCGAATCCTTCCAGCACCTTCTGAAACTCACCCCGAGGCAGTTTCGTATGATGCTTAGGGTTCCTGAAGTCTTACCCACACTTCAGAATCTGAGGCCTGAGAGCAGAGCCGCATCTTTACAGCCCCAGAGAGTGCCTGCCGGGAGTCCTCGGGAAATACGGGCAGGCTGGGCCCAGAAGCCCCGTGTCTCAGGAAGTGCGGAAAGCACCTTGAAAGATGCAGATGAGGATTCCAGGAGCAGAGAGCCTGGTGGACGGGGCCATGCCCTGCTGCTCTGCTCCTCGCCCCTCCCTGGGCCAGCCCTCCGGGGTCCGTTACCTCCGACGTCTCCAGGGACTGGATCTCCCGGGGCAGCTCCACGGCGTGCCTGTTGAAGTAGTCCATGGTGATGGCGTTGTTCCAGTAGCTCAGGTTGTTCTCCGGGTTGGCGGTCTTCTTCTTCCTCCGCAGGCAGCACACAGTCAGCAGGACAGCTGCAGAGAGTCAAGTCAGACGGAGGACCGGGGAGAGAAAGAGCAGGGAGCCGGCGCAACCCGGGGACGGAGGGGGGTGACGCCCCTTCATCCATCCAGAAAACTACTACATGTGCGTGCCTCCTTCAGGTCAGGTGCTGGGATTCAGGGAATTAGCAGAAAACAAAGATGTCCACTTCCTGGGCTGCCCTTCTACTGTGGGTGGGTGGATGGATGGTGCCAAGCATAGACAAGAGTACTGAGCAAGTACACAGCATGTAGACAGGGCCAACTCTTCAAGGGAGATAGCGGGATGGGTGGGGAGGGGCTGAGGGGAGGCAGGGCGTCAGACTCCCGAAAGACTGTCCTCAGTGACCTTAGAGCCAGACTAGAGCCGGGGGAGGGGCAGTACGTTCCACAGACATACTGACAGGTAAGGGGCCTGAGGTGCTGACACGTGTGAAGAGAAAATCAAGACTGAGGCCGGAGAGATGGGTTGGTAGTGAGGGAGGTGGGAAGTGAGGCTAAGGGAGGGGTTGGGGTGGGAGATGGGAACGAGGCCGGAGTGAGGAAGGGGGTGAGGGAGGCTGCAGGAGAGTGGAAGTGAGGTGGGAGGCAGGAAGTGAAGTGGGAAGGGAGGGTGAGGAGTGAAGGGAGGGGCCCGGGCAGGTTAGGAGTTTGCTTTGCATGCAGCCCACCTGGGTTTGATCTCTGGCATCCTCAAGGAGTAATTTCTGAACACAGAGCCCCTGAACATTGCCGGGTATGACCCCAAAGCAAAACAAAACGAAGCAGTGGGAGTGGGGTGTGTGTGGGTGGGGGAGAGGCAGTGGAGGTGAGGGAGGTGTGGCCAGGGGAGCTGACAGGGCTGGCCTGGAGTGAGCTGGGGGGATGCCGCCTTGGACCCCCTAACCCCGGGCTCCATGGGAAGGAGGGAAGCTCGTCCAGCTGGCCGGGCTGCACACAGGGCGATGGTGGGGTGTCATGAGCAGTAAGTGAGGCCACATCCAGTGACCTAATCTTTCCTTAGAGTCAGAGGCTTACGAGCAGAATCACTGAGCAGAGGTGTCGGGTCCCCGAGGACACTGCTACCTCAGCGTCCTCAACCCCAGAGACACCGAAAATAGCCCCAAAGTCACCGAGCACCTTCCCTGGGTTCCAGGCATTAGAGATATTGACCCGGTCCCTCCCCTCTTTAAGGACAGGAGGTCAGGACTGTTAGGACCCACGTGCAGACAGGAAAATGGAGACTCAGGAGCCAAGATCAAATGCGAAAATCTGGACCCCAAGTCTGCCCCTCAGCATCTGCAATTCAGCCTCAGGTGTCTCATGGGTATGATTTACACATCAGGAACAGGGAGCATCAGGCTGAGAAGTTTGGGGAGGGTGCAGACAGTGCCAGGGACTGAGGTCAGAGCAACTGACGCAGTGATGTGGAGCCTGTAGAAGAAAATGGGGTCTCTCCCCTAGGGACCCACCAGCAGAACCTATGGGGTGGCTGGCATCCATTGCTGGGGAGTCTGCAGAGGCCGGGACATGTGGCAACAGCCACCAGGGGGCAGCAGAGCGCCAGTCCCGGCCCTGGCAGCTGGCCCTGGGGCCGGTGGGTGGATGGTCTGGTTCCTGCCCAGATGCACAGCAGCTGCCAAAACCAGTTCCTGCACAGATGGAGATGTCAGCGCACAGGCCCCATAGGTCAGTGGAGGGCTTCTGCCACTCTCTTCTAGGCTGGCCTGGCCAGCACCTTCAGACATAGGCCAGAAAGCGGCATCTAATTCGCTTTGATCTAAGAGACAAATTTGCTGACTTTCTCGGTGGGGTGGGGGGGCACACCGGGCAGTGCTTGGCGCTTATACCTGACTCTGCTCAGGGACCACTCAGCGGACCATCTGCGGAGCTGGGTATCGAACCCAGGTCAGCCGCCTGCCAGGCAAGGGTTTTAATCACGGCACTGTCTCGCTTGCCCCTGCGCCCCATTCAGGGCCCTCTGAAAAGTTTTTAAGAAAGGAGGATGTTTCATCGAAGACCAATTTTAGTCTGAATGGCCGATTTATTATGGTTTTTCCAATGTTACAGGTCTCGCTCCTTTCTAAAGGGCCTTTTCTTCAGCTCACTGAGGAGGGAGACGCGGAGAGAAGACTTTGGCGGACAGAAGACTGACTGTTCAGAGACGGCTCACCAGCCATGTCACAGCTGTCCCTCAGGCCCGGGGCTCTGAGTGTGGGATCTGGGGCCGGGTTCTGCCCTGCGGAAGGCCTGCACCCTGTTCAGAGAAGAGACTCCTCTCCCTGTGTCATAGTGCCGCCAACTATACGGCATTTCCTCCAGTGAGCTCACGTGCCTTCTAAGTGCCATTTCATGGACACAAGAGAAGCCTGCCTGGGCCAGCAAGTCGGCCTCTGGGCTTGTCCCCTTTCTCAGGCTGCTTAGGAAGGAAGGCGGTGGGGTGGGGGGTGGGGGAGCGAAGAAGGAGAATAAAAGGAATAAAAGGCCTGATGTACAATAGGTGCTGATTAACGAGTTTTCTTGTTCTTTCAGCATTTCCACACAAAAACGAAAAGATCTCTGAAGAAAATCTGGGTGTTTGAATGACTCAAGGCCAAGGTGCCATCCGTGGTTTCCAATCTGCTTTATTTGGGGATCTGACCTTTCCCCTAAGGCAGAGAGGTGGGACTTGGACTCAGGGTCTTTGCTACATCCCAGAACTGCCCCGGGCGCTTGCTCTTTCTCTTCCATCCAGGAGCGACTGTCTGAGGAAGCTTCGGTCCCTGAGGAAGCTGCAGGTTGCTCTTCCCACTTAGAGAAGCAGCTCCTGAAAATTCACAGAATAGAGCCTAACCACTAGCAAATTGGGGAACTCAGACCCCTTTTGGTGGCTCTGACCCCTGGGGGGAAGTATTTTAAGCACCTATGGTTAACCGCACTGCTCTCCACAGACACAAGTGGGGAGCCCCCTCCCCACCCTCTCCCTTTAATAAAAAGCTACCCGGATCTGTTTCCCCATAGGAAACAACCAGGACCCTCGGGGTCACTGGGACCCCGATTTCATCACGTTTTTAAAAGCTGGTTTCAGCATTAAGCCAGCTGCTGCTCCCAGGAAGTGTCCCTGAGGACACGGGGGTGGGGGGGTGGGGGGGAGACAGGAAGGAGGCTCAGGTGCTGACCTTCCTGGGAGGGGCCTGATCTTCAGGTGGGACCTGTTGTGCGGTTGGAAACGGACTTTCCTAGGCTTCCCGGGAAGTGCTCTCACAGGCCTGTGTGAGAGGCCTGGCAGATGCTGAGCACCACGTGTCATGATGTGATTCCTGTAGGGTGGGCCACCTGTGCCACCCCAACGGTCTCAGGCTCCTGCTCCTGCTGGGGGGGCCGGGGGGGCAGCTGGAGGAAGACCCCCCCGTGAGCCAAGACCTTGTCTTTGGGGCTGCTTCCAGCTCTTGCTGCTGGTAGGAGGGGGTCCAGCAGGACACGGGACCCCTCCAGCAGCTCGAAACGGCCCAAGAGCTGCACTGAGGTCCTGGAACTGGCTCCCCAGAACCCCCTCCCCTCTTTTATTCTTCCCTTTAATGGGGGACAGTACTGCTGTGTGAGGCTCTCCCCCCACCCCAGTCCCTGCCTTTATAAATCACCCCAACACATCTCTTCCCTATCACATCTCTTTCCTATCCAATCTTGTCTCCATCTTTACCCCCTGAAAGCCTGGAAGTGATGGGGTGGACACGAGTCCTGTTTGGACAGGGGGCAACGCCGGGCTGACGGTGAATCACAAGCACCCACATGCACGTGATTCCTGCAGCTGAACGTCGGAAAAGGAAACTCAGACCCGGTTCAGCTCAGCACCTTCATCTCGTGGGAGAGAGAAGGGTGAGCTGGTGGTACCCGGGGGGTGGGCCTTTCTGTTTCTATCTGTGGATCTCCCAGGGTGTGTGGGTGCGGCCACTTGAGGCCACAGGTATGGGAAACACAGGTTTGGGACTTCCTGTTTGATTCCTCAAGCTGGCAGGCGGGACTATGCTCCAACCTTCCGAAAGGTCATCCTATACAACTACCGCGTCACTTGGGGCATTCACAGTTGTCTGGAAGGAGGGCAGGCCGCTCTGAGAAAGGGACTGCTCGGATTCAGGAGGAAAACAGCGGCCGCTGCCCCATGGCCTTGTTCGCATCTTCCAGGAAGGCCCGACGGGCAGCCAGCCCTGGGGAAACCACAGGACGGAGAGGAGCACGGGCTGAGCAGGAGCGTCCTGGTGGTGGCAGCAGAGACCAGCAGAGACCTGAGCTCCTCCTCCTGTCCTGGCTGAGGGCTCTGAAATCTGGAAATGCGGCGAGCAGTCTCCAGTCTCCAGCGCGGCTCAGGAGACAAAGCCCTTCCCAGGCCAGCTGCGGGGCGGGGTTTCTGGCCAGCAAGCGCCTGGGCAGGGCTGAAACTTGCTACCTCATCCCGGAATTCTCACCCAAAGGGAGGACGCGAGCCCAACAGCCTGGTCACCTGAAGCTTGTGGTGCATGGAACAGTGTCAGGGCCGGGCTGGTCTGGGAAGGCCGACACGAGGAGCAATGAGAGCTCCCTGAGAAGGACCAGGTGCCCTCAAGTATGAGGCAAATGGGCCAAGGGGCAGCCTTTCTGAGGAGGAGGAGGAGAGTGAGCTCTGGCCTCAGTGTGGCTGTCAGCCAGCTCCTCCTCTAGGTCTGAAAGAGGCTTCCTGACAGAAGAGCACAGGAGCATAGGCCCTGAAACCAGGTAGTCTGCTATTCCCGTGCCTCTTCGGGATATTCAGTGTTTTGTTTTTTTTTTCCCTGCTTTTTGGGTCACACCCAGTGGTGCACAGGGGTTACTCCTGGCTCTGCACTCAGGAATCACTCCTGGCAGTGCTTGGGGGACCATATGGGATGCTGGGGATCGAACCCAGGTTGGCGGCGTGCAAGGCAAACGCCCTACCGGCTGTGCTATTGCTCCACCCCCCAGTGGGGGTTCTTGACCTGCCCCTACGCAGTCTCTCACCCTGCCCCCCTGCAAGCTTAACGATGGTCCCACAGGGGCTGGGGCCATGGCCAAGAGCAGGAGTTGATGGGGAGGCAGCTGAAGCAGCGGGGGCATAGGAAGCTTTCCTAAGCTGACAGAAACGCAAGACAGAAGCCATAGGTCGGTGGTTCCAAGGGGTTACAGGCGTCCCTTTGGTCGAAGGGACTCATGCCTCCTTTGACACAGTAATATCTGCTAGTAGGTTCTATTCCGAGTACCTCAACCCTCCTGTCAGAGTGCCAGTGCATTCTTGAAATGCCTTTCCAGGCTGTGTGCTTGCTTCTGTCTTGGCTCCTGTACACGCTTGGTTTAGGCAGTCCATGGATTTTCTGGATTTACAGTAAGATCTATTTGAATTTCAAACTCATACATAATAAAATGATTTTTTTTTAAACTGGCAAAACCCAGATGGTTGTGGGCGGGATCTACACTGTGTCCAGTACGAGGGGAACGGGGCTCTGGATCTTGGGGGCGGGTCCTCACACACCTGGTTCCCTAGCGTTTGGAAGAGTTCTTGGCTTATGAGGTGCACCTGGGAAATAGTGTGCCGAGTTCCACCCACAGTTCCAGACCCACCTGGTCTGGGCTGATGCCTGCACGACTGGGGCCCTGAGCATGTCCCTGGGGTCTGCCACAGACTCCTTACCATCAGGGGTGTTTTTCGGAACTTCACTTCATCTGTTTTTTTTTTTTTTATTTTATTCTTCCTACTGGTCTCTTTTAAGAAAGGCAAGATTAAAAAAATACTGGAAATTCCCTCTGTAAATGAGAGTTAGGCACACGTAAAAAATGGAACATGAGAAAGCTGTCCCTAATGTGACCACTTCTCAAATATGACTCTTATTGTTAATTTCTTGACTAACAGTGCTTACGTTGTCTCGTTCTCTTCTGTGTCAGAAGTGGGAAGTTGCAGCTTTATGAATCTGTTTACGTTCCCATGAGAGACAATACAGCTGTCTTGTATAATTTCACGAAGGAACGGCAGATGCAACCCCCAAACATTCGCCCCTTCCCTGCATCGGGCCTACGAGCAGAAGGCGGTGCCCGCCCCCCACATGGATGGCCGCTTTGTTTATCAGCCTGAAGGCGACAGAAAGCTGGGAGAGGTAGTTTCTGGAAAGAATCCAGAATCCAGATTTAACAAGATCTTGTTGGAGAGCAACGCTGGCAAGATGCCGCGTGCATGTGAGGCAGATATCTCCTGCACCACTGTTCAGATCACCGCGGCGGGGGACACGGCCGAACGCCTTTCACTGTGAAAGTTCCTGGAGCTTCGTTTCTCCTGAGACCGTGGTGAGCCTGAGGTGTGATGTGGAGCCAGTACAGTTAGCAGAGCGGATTATGCTGCCTGATTATGGACAAGGAGTGCATGTAGCATGCAGGCCTCAGTGTCCACTCTCCTCCGACCTCCCCACTATGTGCAGTGCCTCGTCCTGGGGAAGCAGCCCCAGCCTCAAAGGCTGACTGCAGGCTGCATGGCTGTGCAGAAGCAAGGTTCACCTGGCAGAACCTAATTCAGAAAATTAGGAGGGACGGCGTGGAAAAGCAAATGCTACCTTTGAGAGCTGAGTCAACTGGCTTGGGTATTGGGAAATGGGCTGATTTTGTATGATTTCAGGCTGCAGGTGTGAATCACAAGGAGGCAAATTTCAGACCTCTACAAGAGTTGGGAAAGGACTGAGGACACCAAAGGGGAATGAGGTGTCCGGTGAGTGAGGTGTCTCAATCCAGGGAGGGCTCATGGGGAGTCCGAGGGATAATCACACGAGGGTGAAAAATGGGACTTCCTGAGAAACTAGGAGCAAGGATCAAGTACATGAGGAAGGGGTCTAGGAAGCCTGGAGTGATCAGTCCTGAGATTAGGTAAGGTTCTTTTTTTTTTGTTTTTGGCTTCTTCGGTTATACCCGGTGATGGTGATGCACAGGGTTTACTCCTGGCTCTGCACTCAGTAATCACTCCTGGCAGTGCTCAGGGAACCATATGGGGTGCTGGGACTTGAACCAGGGTCACCGCATGCAAGGCAAACGCACTACCTGCTGTGCTATATTGCTCCAGCCCCTAGGTATGGTTCTTAACTAGAGGTGGGACTGAATATGGGAGGTCCGGATAAGGCATGGCCAGGAGGTGCTGGGAGCCTTGGGGGACCCTTTCCCTCCAATGCTAGTGAAGGAAGAAAACAAGGAGAGGTCCAGGTGGCATCCAGCTCACACACCCAGTAACAAATCTTGCTGGGGAGGAGGGAAAGAGTTGCAAACTTCACATGTAACTCAAGCCTCAATTTAGCTACGAATTATGTTTCATGCAGGCTGACAGAACTTCCTGTAAGGTCAAAGCTTCCCCCTTTTCCCGAGGAAAGAAAGAGAAAAAGAGGAGAAAGAGATGAGGGAGGAGTGAAAAGAGAGGAAGACAGGTGAGCAGCAGGATGGGGGGGGGTGAGGTCTGGCTACTTGCTGGTGGCAATTGTCAGTGCCTCCTCTCCTGTGTCCATGCCCAACTACTCCAGGAATTAGCAAGCAGGGTGGCTGGTGACAAGAGCAGAGGCTGGACAACAGGAGCCCTGAGCTGGTGCTGGCCCTGCCTCTCAGGAACCCTGGGGCCCAGTGAGCCCCGCCACTTCTCAGTTGATGTTTCCTTCTGCTCAACAAGGACTGTATTGCTGCAAGGTTTCCCCAGCACTTGGGAAATGGGCCTTTATGCTCGGCGGGCATCCGGGCCATCACCTGGCAGAACCGAATATGGGATGGGGATGACCTGGTGCTTCTTGTCCTATGACTTATCTCCTAGGTCTGCCCTGTCCTGCGGCCCGCTCGGAGGTGGGAAGGCAGCCAGCTGTGGGGCAAAAGGTCCCCTAGGGCCAAACCAGCTGCTGTGTCAGGGAGGAGGGGGAGTGGGAGGCACGGGGAGGACAGGGCACTTACAGCAGGAGGAGATGGGCACGCTGATGGCCAGAATCACCCAGACGATGTCCATCTTGCTTAGGCAGATGGTGGCCCTGTGCTGGGGCTTGTCCTCTTCGGCCACGTGGGAGGCGTTCGCTGCTGTGCCAGGCTTCCAGGTCCCAGCAGGGACCAGGCGGTTGAGGAAGTTTCCTGTGGCCGTGGATACCACCGTGGAGAGAGGCCGGGGCACCTCGGCGGTCATGGCAGGGGTGCCCGCAGCCCCCTCCTCCTCGGCTGGGGAAGTGGGGGTGTGGGCTGGGGCCCAGGGGGCTATGGATGTTCCCTGAGGAGTGCCCTCGGAAGGGGCTGAGACACTGACATTGAAGGCAGCCACGGAGGCCCCCAGGCTGGGAGAGGGAGGTTTGTTGGTGCCAGGAGTGACGGTAAGCCAGGAGTCAGAGTAGTTAGGGCTGACCTGCGGGTCGCCGCGGGGGCGCTGAGAAGGCACTGGGGTAGGGAGTGGGCTGGCAGGGGCACCTGAGGCTTCGGAGACATCCGGTTTCCCTCCATGGCTGGTGAAGGTGACGCCACCCCTCTGGACTGCTCTGCTTAGTCCTGGCTTGTCCCCTGCAGCCATGGGAGGGGTGGTGGTGAGTGCCCACAAGGTCCTGCTGGGCACGGGGTCTGTGGCCACAGTCTGGGACGGTGGTGAGAAGGAGGAACCCCAGAGCAGGTTCCCAGGGGTGAGCGTGGTGGGATCAGGCTCCGAAGCCCCTGTGAAGTTGCTCTTGTAGATCTGGAAGATCTTGCCCAAGGGCCGCTTCTGCCCCAGATGCGTGGCGCTCTGGTTCCGGGCCCGCTGCCCTTCCTTCCTACCCGCGTGGCCGCCGGACACGGGTGAGCCAGGGCGTGAGGAGCTGCCGGCCCCCCTTCGCGACGAGCCGGGGGGCCGGGGGGGTCTGCGTGTGGCTGCCCGAGGGGGCGCTGTGGCGTGGCGACTGGCGGTTTCTGTCGGCTTCGTGGGCGGACCGCTGGGGACAGTGTCGCCCGGGGCTCGAGGCTCGGAGCGGGACAGTGTGGCCGGGACGGCAGGAAGGGGGGCGGTGGCCGTGCTTATAGGGGGGTGCCCGTGGGCTGGGGCTGAGGTCGCGGCTGCAGGAGCTGAAGCCTGTGAGGAGGGTCCGTCGAGATGGGGGGTCGGCACGGAGCGGTGGGCAGCTGGCATAGAGTGTCTGTTAGAGGTGACGGGCGCTGTCTCCATGGTGCCTGGGGCGCTGTCTGAGGGGAGGACCTGAAGAGATTCCCTGGGAGATGGCTCCTGGGTGGCGGGTGTCAGGGCTTCGGTCAAGGCCAAGGTCAGGAGGAAGCCTTGAGAGGAGACAGAGAAGAAATGAAATACTGGGGACACAGTCACCCTGGGCTGCTGCTGTCCCCAGGCACCTAAATCTCAGGGAACCCGAGGGTAGCATCGGGGGTCCGAGGTCCCTATTGCTGCCGCCATGCCTGTGGGGTCAGAGTGGGTGGGTCTCTGAGGGAGAGGCCTCCCTGCACTGTGTGTGTGGGGAGAGATAAAGCAGCCCCAGAGGCCGGTCTACACTGGCCATTCAGAGCCTTCCCCCATGCCTCTGAAAAGTCTGCGACCCCTACGCCCCAGGGCAGCTTCTAGGGACTGACCACGCCCTTCACAGGGGATGTGGAAGCATGGAGCCCTGCGGAGATGGATGGGAAAGACTAAGCTGGACAGAGCTGACCGGCCACACCTCCTGTCCGACTCTTGTTTGTGAAGCAGATGCGGGTCTCCCAGACACACCTTGGCCATTCAGAGCTGACCCGCTCGTCAGCCATTGCAGGTCCAGCCCTCCCCTCCACCCTGGAGGACACGAAAAATCAGCAGGGCTGTCTGGCCCACGGTGAGCACCACACACAGTCAATACTAATCCTACAAATAACATTAAACCAAGGCAGAAACAGCCCAGCGTCAGGGGAGGGAGCCAGGCAGAGGCAAGCGGGGTGCTGAGGAGGTGCGTGGGTGTCTGTGCCCATGAGTCACTGCACAAAACCCTGGAGAGAAGAGACCTCTGGGGACGAAGCCGGCTTCCGAGCTGTCTCTGTGGTAACTGCGTCTCCTAGGTGCTCATGGAGTGCAGCTCTGTAAGTCATCGGCGCTGCCAGAATTGGGGAAGGAGCATGGAAAGATGGTGGGTTTCATACCATGGCCAGTGTGTATGCTTTTTATTCACTGAGAAGATGCATAAGAAGCAGAGCCCATGCACTTACAAACACCTCTAGGGGCTGGAGCGATAGCACAGTGGGTAGGGAGTTTGCCTTGCACGTGGCCAACCTGGGTTTGATTCCCAGCATCCCATATGGTCCCCCAACACTGCCAGGACCGATTCCTGAGTGTAGAGAGCCAGGAGTAACCACTGGGCGTGCATGGGCAGGTGCGACCTAAAAACCAAAAAACCCCCAAAAAAACAAAAAACAAACACCCCCCACCCCCCCCAAAAAAACAAACCAAACCAAACCAACCAACCAAACAAACAAAGACACCTCTAGAGTAAAAGGGAATGTGCCTGCCACAGAGGCGGGAAAAGGGAGGATGGGGTGGGGGTGGTGGGAGGGATACTGGGAATACTGGTGGTGGAGAATGGGCACTGGTGGAGGGATGGGTATTTGATCATTGTATGACTGAACGTAATCATGAAAGTTTGTTAAGTCTGTAACTATCTTACGGTATTTTATTAAAAATATGAAAAAAAACACCCTCTAAATACCTGTGGATACTATTGACCACAACGGCACATGCCTGTATCTTTTTTTTTTCAATTTTTCAATTTTTTAATTTAATAACCATGAGATATACATACAAAGCTTTCATATTTGAGTTTCAGTCATACACTGACCGAACACCCATCCCTCCACCAGCGCACATTTTCCACCATGAATGTCCCCCATGCTTCCCACTCCCCCGCTGTCACATCCCAACCCTCCCCCTGCCTCTATGGCAGACAACTTCCCCCATACTCTCTTTTTTTTTCATTTGCTTTTTGGGTCACTCCCGGTGATGCTCAGGGGTTACTCCTGGCTCTGCACTCAGGAATTACTCCTGGTGATGCTCGGGGAACCATATGGGATGCCGATGCTGGGACTCGAACCCAGGTTGGCCACGTTCAAGGCAAACGCCCTACCCGCTTGCTATCACTCTGGCCCACTCTCTCTCTACTTATGGGCATTATGGTTTGCAATACAGATACTGAGAGGTCATCACATTTGGTCTTTTATCTACTTCCAGCATACATCTCCCAATCTGAGTGATCCCTCCAACCATCATTGACTTAGTGATCCCTTCTCTATTCCAGCTGCCTTCTCCCCAGCTCATGAGGGAGGCTTCCAATTATGGAGCAATCTTCCTGGCCCTCTCTCTACCATCCTTGGGTGTTCATCTCATATCATGATATTTTATATTCCACAAATGAGTGCAGTCAATCTATGTCTGTCCCTCTCTTTCTGACTCATTTCACTTAGCATGATACTCTCCATATCCATCTATTTATAAGCAAATTTCATGACTTCATCTTTCCTAATAGCTGCATAGTATTCCACTGCATAGATATACCAAAGTTTCTTTAACCAGTCATCTGTTCTCGGGCACTCTGTTTCCCCCCGTTCCCCCCCCTCCCAAATTCTGGCTATTGTAAACAATGCTGTAATGAACATACAGGTGCAGATGTCATTTCTACTGTGCTTTTTTGCACCCTCGGGATATGGCACATGCCTATCTTTAAAAAGAACTGATGTAGGAGTAAGCAGGAGATGCAGGGTCTGTGTGGATTCTACACTGAAGCCCGGGTCCCCCAACAGCTCGGGGCAGTCAGTAGGTCTGCTGCTGAGGGGCAGACTCATGGCTGTGGTCTGACCCTAACCTGTGAGTCCCTCACTCACAGGGATGCACTCTGGACCCTTCTCACATTGTTCTTGGGTCCAGGGAGCACTGTCTCTATAGGACAGCCTCTGGGAGTTTCCCACACCCAGCCAAGTCTGGCAGAATGAAGAGTCAAATGAAGTGCCCGGGGGTGGATTCTCAGGGGATGACGGGTGTGAGAACCGCTGAGAAGAGAGGGCAGGGTGTGAGAGGTGATAAGCTTCCAGGAGCAGAAAGAGTTCATCTTCTGGTCTGCTTCTGAAACATGACTTGGGATCCCCATTAAGGTCACTTCAGTCTTTGGGTGACCCCTCGCACCACTCAACTTAATGGGTGGGATGAAGGTGAAGGGCTGTGGATGGAAGAGAATGACATACCCATGGATCTAGGATTAATAATTTGCCTGAAGCAACCTATTTTTTTCTTTGCTTCTTTTAAAACGATTTTTATTGATTGAGATTTCTGTGGTTTACAATACTATTAACTATTCATTTCTCATACACATAATAAAACACTATTTCCCCCTAAACTTCCATTTATGATCTGCACTGAATGTGGGGACCATGAAAAGAAAACCCCAAAACTTAACGTTTTAAAAATTTTGCTTTTTATGGTATAGTAAATGTTTGATTTGTATCTCTCTGTTATAGACTTACATAAAACCCCTTCAGGACAAAAGGGGTCATAGTGGTAAAAGTTGAGCGGGCTGGTCTGACCACACCAACAGCTCCGCATCCACCCATCAATCCCAGCCCCGGCCACTCAGGCCCCATCAGTCGCTCGGTGCGGGCAGGCGTTGAGGTTCTGGCAGAGTAAATGGCAAGCTTGAAAAGTCAGTAACTCACAGAGGTATATAAAACCTTAGTTGGGCTGCATTTTAAATGTAAGCTTTTCCCGAATGACGAATGATGCCTGGGAGGAGGAGGAAGAAGAAGAGACAGAAGAGGAGGAGGAGGGAGCGGAGGGGGAGGAGGAAGGTGGCAATTGTACCCACAGCAGAAACCATGTGTTGTTCAGCTCTGGCCTTTCTGGGTTATTCCAGCTGTTTCCTTGCAGTTTACCACCACAGGAGCTATCTATTCTTAGAGTCTCTGATCTGGAGAAACACTTTCCAATAAGTTTCTGCTCGGCTCATGAGTGCCTTGTTCGGTATAAGCTCTATTAGGGACTGATTTATGTTTCCCACCCCCTGAACCTCATGACTATACTTGAGTCAGGGCCTTTAAAGTGATGATTAAAATGAAGCCGTCGGGGTAGGCACTGACCCAATCGAACAGATGTCCTTTTAGGAAGAGACCAGGATGCCCTGAGATGCCAGCAACGTGTGTGCAGAGCAAAGGCCCTGAAAACACATCGAGAGAGTGGGCCATCTGCAAGCTAAGGAGACATCAGACAGAAACAACCACTTCTGTCAGCATTAAAAAAAAAAATTAAGCAACGTGATTTATATCACGGTCAGTGACAGACATACAACATTCCAACACCACACCCTCCAGAGAGCTGCTTCCCTCCACCCCTGTCTCAGGATCTGACCCCTCACCTCAAACCCATTTCCCACTGCTGCCCGCCGCCTGCCCCCAAGGTCAGTTCTATAGACTAGTTTCCGGTTCTGTTGTCTCTGGGCATTTGTTACTCCCTTTATATTTCACATATCAGAAAGACTGTTCTGAACCTCTCTCCTTCTGTCAGCATTTTAACTTTGTACTTCTGGTGTCCAGATCTGTGAGAAAGCAGATTTCTACAGTTTAAGCCACCCAATCTCTGGTACTTAGTTGTGGCAACTAGAACAGACTGAAACGGACTAAAACTGACACTAGAGATCCAAAGAAGGAGAAGCAGAGACCAGGGCTGGTGTACAAGCGCACGTTCTGGGAGCTAGTCATGAGTCTAGCAAATTCATCGGGAACTCTGAGGCGCTGAGAACACAGTTCACTGTGTCAGGAGAGGAGTGCAGCAGCCCACTACGGCTCACAGCTGTTCACGCGCTCGCTCCTTGCACCTCTCCCTGGTGCATGGGGCCCAGCTGGGCAGTGCGGCTGTCAGGTCACACCATCCAGTGACTGCCCGGTGACTGTGTCAGGAGAGGAGTGCAGCAGCTCACTATGGCTCACAGCTGTTCACGCGCTCGCTCCTTGCACCTCTCCCTGGTGCATGGGGCCCAGCTGGGCAGTGCGGCTGTCAGGTCACACCATCCAGTGACTGCCCGGTGAATGCCTTGAAGCTGGCCAGCTGGGACTCAGAGACCCGAGACCAAGGCCACATTCTAGGCAGCAGCCGTGGGGCAGCGCCCGGCCTTCAGGAAGAGCCTGTCTGAGCAGTGGCTGTCACTGGTCTAGGGGCAGGGGGTAATAATACTGTCTTTAAAGTACTCGGAAAGGGGCAGGGGTGGGGGGCGGAGAGCTTAAAGGACTAGAACTCAAACAGGTGGAGGTCCTGAGTTTGACAT